CATATCACCCAAAGCAATCTATGGACTTAATGCAATCCCTATCAAAATACCAATGGCATTTTTCATAGAACTAGAACAAATAATCCTAAAATTTATGTGGAACCATACAAAAAACACATAGTCAAAGCAATCTTGAGGGGAAAAAAAACAGAGTTGGAGGTATTATGCTACCTCAATTCAAATTATATTACAAAGCTATAATAATCAAAACAGTATGGTCTTGGGTGGCACAAAACAGATCAATGGAGCAGAATAGAGAGTCCAGAAGTAAACCCAAGCTGATTATGCTCAAATAATATTTGACAAAGGAGGCAAGAATATACAATGGGATCAAGACAGTCTCTTTAATAAATGTTGTTGGGAAAATTGGACAGATACATGCAAAAAAATGAAACTCGACCACCAACTTACAACATACACAAAAATAAACTCAAAAATGGATAAAGGACTTAAATGTAACTGGCCACCACCGGTCAGCAGCGCACACCCCACAAAGCAGGAGAGGCCGGTCTCCCACCCGGCTCAGGGCGGGCCCAGGGGAGCTGCCCCCAGGCTTGCCCCTGTCTCCCCAGCCTGGAGGGGACAAATCCTGAACTTCCTGCCAGTGACCCCAGAACAAGCTTGGAAAGGAACCTCAGCTGCTCCTCACAAAACCTCTGCAGGCCTCTTGGCTTCCCAGAAGTCCCTTTTCTTGCCCTTCCTGTGCCCAGGGCCCTGGGAACCAGCTCACTAGTACAAAGCACACTGGCTGGGAGTCGTGAGCCCTGGGCTGCAGTCCTCGCTGAGGTATTGATAGGCAGTCCTCGCTGAGGCATTGATACGCTGGCCGCTCACCCCCTCCGGGCCTCGGGGTCCCCTTCTGTAAAATGGGGATGTGCGCCTTGCTCTGCCCACCTGACAGAACGGTGCATGGCTGAAAAATGAAATAAAGACAGGAAAGCAAATCCCCTCCTCTACTCAGACAAGGATGAGAGGGGCTGCTGCAGGCTGGGCGGAGTGGGAGGAGGGGGCCGTGGAGGGAAAACAATGCTGTGGACAACAATGGGTGGAAACGGAGCCTGGATGCGGTGTCTCCTTTCCCAGAGCCTGGAACCTGAGATCCTGCATTTAACTTACAGCTCTGGAGAGAGAGAGAGAGAGAGAGAGAGAGAGAGAGAGAGAGAGAGAGAGAGAGAGAGAGAGAGAGGCTTTGCAGGCAGCAGGGGCCCTGCCCTGGAGAAACAGGACTGGCCACACCAGACCCACATCAAACCAGTTCGGCTCTAAGCCAGGCCCCCTGTGGCCAGACCCCACAGGAGCGGCCCGATGACAAGGGCGCTGCAGGAAGAGTAAGAAAAGCAGCTGCTCTCTGAGTGCTCAGCATGCGGCGGGCGGGCTGAGAGCTCTACACGGGGCGATAACTCCCTGCGTGGGCATCATCCCAGGTGATAAGTAGCCACTTCAGGGTTTGAACCCAAGTTCATCTGATTCCACAGCCTATGGCCACTTGCAAAGTGGACAGGACTCATTCCTGCCCTCAGGGGGGCTCAGTCTAGTGGGGAGATGGACCCAGAACAAAGAGGGACGATGGGCCTTCTGAGCCCTCGGGGGGGAGGGTCAAGGGATCTCATCTGCCCACTTTGCTTTCACCTGGAAGTCATGGGCTGCGAGCTCTGAGGGGCCAGGAGTGTACCTGTCTGGCTCGTCATTGGCTTGACACCCAACCCAGGACTCAGGAAATATTGCCAAGTGAAAGAATAAACCCAAGTTGAGTCTTAAGTCTTTAAATTCCCAAGACAGTCTCTTCCCATTGTACCTGAAGCTTTGCACCACACCCTAAGATTTTCCTCTCCAAAATCTAGAAGACTGTCCTTTTAAGGATATTGTCCTGCCAATTTAGGTCATTCCAGACGCAGTCGATGACCTAACTCATCGACTAGGATAACCCAGGTCACTCTCCAGCCTGCATCAGGGAAACCTTTCCATGGAGTCCTAGATTGCTGGGCCGATAGGACGCAGAACTCTGCCGCCCAGGCCAGCCAGGTCACGGCCAAGTCTGGAGCTGGAGAACTGGGTCACAGCCCCGTATTCCCAGGGCTCCTGCGACCCCTCAGCCAAGAAAAATTCAAACCAACCCACAGCCCGTGCCTCTGCTTCTAAGGGGGCCAAATGGAGGTAGCAAAGAGCGCCCCAGGCCCCAAGTCCTGTTCTTAAGTCACTTCCCTGGCGCTAGGAGGCTGGTTCAGGTTGCAAAGTCCTGCCTGATCCAAACCCCAGAGGGAGAGAGCAGGCGGGCTGGAGAGGGGGCCGGGGGAGCTGATGCTTGCCTGCACCAGGAAGGTCTTCCCTTGAGCAGCGCTCCTCAAACTTGGCCACACATGGTATCGCCTGGGGGCTCTTACCATACTGACACCTGGACCCCATGCAGGGACTCCGTTAATCAGTCTCAGGTGCAGGGTGGGCCTTGGGATTTCTTAAAGGTTCCAGAAGTGATTCTCACGTGCAACCAGACTTGAGAACCTCTGCTAGGTGCTGGCCTAGGAGGGAGGGGGGGAGGGGGGGGAGAGAGAAAAAGAGGGAGAGAGAGAGAGAGAGAGAGAGAGAGAGAGAGAGAGAGAGAACCTAATATAGGGTTGAAATGATGGGGTGATAACAGAGGAGCAAACAGGAGAGAAGGGAAATGGAGAGACCAGGGAGAGTGTAGGTGGATGGAAAATGGGGAGGAGAAGCGTGGGGAGAGGGAAGAATATTCAAGGGGGAGGAAGCCAGCGGTGAAAGAAGCGTATGACACTCACACTCAAGCCTCTCCTTCCTCTCGTCATGAAAGCCCTGAGGATGGCTCCTTCTCTGGCGCCCCTAGTGACGACCTGGCTGCCCGGTGGGGCTCCTTCCTGGAAACATCCCTTAAAGGGCTCTGAGCCACATATCCGCCTGCTTCCTCTGGAGTCTCATCTCCAGTCAGAGGCTCCCCTCCCCTCTCCCGATCCGCAAACTGGCTAAGGATGGTCAGCTTTTTACTCCCAAGGGCCCTTGTGACCCATGCATCCTCCATCGCTGGGCAAGTCGGTGGTGATGGGCAAACAGAAGTCCTCTAATGTCATCTCCTTTTTCTTCTCATCTCTCTCTCTCCTTTCAAAGCCCAAATCCCACCCACAGACCCTCAATGGATCAACCACCCCTGCCCCTTCATCCCAAGAAAACGGACCTTGGTGGCTCCCCAGCCCTCTCCCCTCAGCACCGAGCTCCCGATTCCGGCCTTCATGCGCCTGTTTATTTCCCCGAAGCCCAACAAAAGCAACTTCATTAAGCAAACCACATGCTCGGCTGAGCTGGAAGCAGCCAGGCAGCAGCAGGGGCAGGGGCTGCTTAACGGGGCCTGTGGGCCAGGCCGGCTGCGCCAGGCCCCCCTCACCTGCCCTCTTCCTTCCAGCCCAAGGCCCAGCTCAGAACCCTCCCCTCCCCTGCCCCTCCCTTCTCTGCGTCTTCCTCCCTCTCCTGCAGCCCCAGCTGAACCACAGGGCAAGAGGAGGGGTGCAGGGGGTGGTATCGGGGGCCTCCCTGGGACTTGGTCAGTCCAGAGAGAGGGGGCATGAAGGCCATTTTTCTGAGATAGTCCCTACCCACATTGGCAGTGACCTTCCAGACTGGCCCGTGTCCCCCAGGACCCCAGCCCCCAGACTGGGAGAAGGAAGCGTGGCTTTGGAACGGCAGACTTGCAGGCTGGGCTCCCAGAAGCCTCCCCAGGGCCTGCTCTACCACTAACGACCAAGCTTAGATCCTCCGGCTTCTCTGAGCCCGAGCTTCTGTCCATACAGCGGAGGACACATTGCAGCCTCTTGGGCTGTAGCAAAGACTAAATGAATTAATGCACCTAAAGCATAATAAAAAGTTCTCTGTCCATGGCAGCTGTTGTTACTGTTCCCATCATGATTATTTCTCTCTAGCCTACTGAGCAGTCTGAACTCAATGGGGTATAAAAATGAAACAAAATTTAAAAGTCCCTGCCTTCCAAGCTCCCCCGTGATGCCATGGCTCAGTGCAGTTTGAGTAGACCTCAGGGTTTTCTGGTCGTTTTCCGTTATTCAAAGTCAAGTTCAGAAGGGTTTATGACTCCAATCTGTCCTCCTCTTCCCACCTGGTCTTCTCTTGTGTCTCAGGCCTGTGGCCCGAGACAGAGTGGGTCAGGGATGCCTACTCAGGTCCTCCACATCCCCTCCCATGCCAGCTGGGGTGGTTGGAATGAGATGAGATTCCAGATGTGAACCTTGCCCCTGTGTAGACTGGGCCAATGTGAGGGGCCAGCTTACCTGGGATCCCTCCAAGTCCCCACACCCCTCCTGTCATGTCCACCCAAGGCCACAGCCACCCCTCTCTCCTCAGATCTTCCGGTGGCCGGTGGCCAGCAGCATCGACAACAATGAGGTGCTCGAGATTCAGATCTTCAACTACAGCAAAGTCTTCAGCAACAAGTAAGCGTGGGGTGGGAGGGGAGGTGGGCGTGGAGTGGGCGGGGAGATGGGGCGAAGGGGCTGGGGGCCTGCCTGCTCCTTGAGCTGCCCTCTCCTTTGGATTTAAAAGGGGACCCACACCCATAGCCTACCCTAGATTGATCTTCTGCTCCCCCATGTTGTCCTCAGAGCCCCCCAGCCCTCCACTGTCGGTCTAGAACACCTCAGCCTCCTGTTCGCCCCGTCTGTCCCCAGTGCTTCCTGTCCCCGTCTTTAAGTCTCCCCCTTACACCATACTGGGCGACAGTTATCCATCCAAGAGGTAATGTCATGGTGATAATATCCTCCAATAGACCATCTGTAGCTTTGAAGGCAAACTTGCCTCACCGCAGAAGACGAGAGCTCTCAGGCAGCGAAGTCCGATGGTTGAGGAGTCGGGCAAACCTGATCTCGGGTCCCAGCTCAGCCATCTGCTGTGTGGCCCTGGGCGGGTTACATAATCTCTCCGAGTTCAGTACACTCCTGTCTAAAAAGGATAAGTACTTACCTCCAAGGGAAGCTGTGAGAACTAAATGAGATAGATGTCTGTTCCTCATTCAGTCCCCCAAATGTTTACTGAGTGCCTACTGTGTGTCAAGCACAGAACCAGGTGCTGGGGATAGGGAGGTGCCTATCCGCTTACGTTCTGCCATGAAGCGCACCTACCATGTGAGCATGGTCACTACTAGAGGTTCAGGCAAGGTTCCCGTCCTTCTCTTTGGACGACAAGCAGAATTCTGAATGACTCGAACAGACTGGAATGATGGCTAAATATAATAAATACCAATTCCTACCTTGGGTTCAAAAACCAATTGCTCTGGGCTTGCTAACCAGCAAAACCACACCCACTGCTTGGGGTGGTGCCTGGCACCCAGGAAGCCCCTCTGCCTTTGTCTGAGTGAACAAATACATATCTCCGTGCATCAGAGGGTGCCTCGGGTCGGGGGATCTGGGAACAGGAACCAGAAGACTTGAGGGCACCCCAGGTGAGAGCTAGTCACATGACTGATGCATTTGGGAGAAACATGAAATGGTGTGAGAAATGGGACCGGTTTGTCCTGGAAGTGGAGGGCGGCTTGGAAGCTGGTCCCTCGTCGCCCAATGGTTCCAGGGGCTGCAGGGAGGAGGGAGAAATTGTCCGAGTCAGGGAGCAGGAGACCCCTGGTCCACTTGTCCCTGCCTTCAGGAACCTTGGACTTCCCGGTGAGGACGAGTATTGGGTCCAGAGGGTCTTGTGCTTCCCTCTGCCTGTCCAGGACCCTTGGCAGGGGTGTGTTTGTGTGTGTGTGTGTGTGTGTGTGTGTGTGTGTGTGGCCTGACCCAGGCACCGGTCTCCTGAGGCTCCTGAATAATGCAGGAGCCAGGACAGCAGTGGAGGCCTGGCTGCCGCGGGCACCTGACACCAGGTCCCGGGGGAAAGTGATGAATTATTGACAGGTCCTGGTGCCTGGCTGCAGCTCCACTGTGGTCAGTCCGCAGGCTGTCTGCGCTGAGCCCCCTCCCTGCTGGCTAAGCACCTGGGAATCCTGCCTGGGGCCAGTCCGGCCTCCGGGGCAGCTGTGGGCACTGGGGGAGGGGGGTGCCCCCTCTGTGATAGGTAATCTGGATGGGCCCCTTAGGGGAGGTTGTCAGAGGACAGGAGGTTGGGTCCCAGCCCCTTCACCTAACAGCCTGGGGGAAATGGAGGCCTGGAGAGGACCCTGGCCCAGGGTCACACAGCAGGGTCAGGGCGGAGCCAGGTCTTCAACCTGGTAACCCCAGGTGAGTGCTCCTTGCCCCAGAGCGAAGGGGCTCCACCTCCACTTTCCAGGGGCACTTAAGTTCCTTCCTGTCTATAGAGGGGGCCTGAAGGGCCCAATTCTTTTGGAAGCAGTATTAAGGATTAAGGCACTCGTAGGAGCTGTGTTTTTATAGCAAGCATTGTTTTTGCTTAGATGGTACGTTACAGACCTGTAGGAAGAGCCAAGTTTTATAAAAATGCTTTTCTTCATTCTTTCCATAAGACGAAGACAATACCTTTTGTCCGTGTCAAAGAGTATTATTTTCTATTTTTGTTTGAGGGAGGTGGGGGGTGGGCAGTGACTGTTGGGAGTTAAAGTCCCCCCGCGGGTCTGTGACAAGCTGATTCCTTTGGCCACGCTGGCTCCCCGTGACCCAGCCCCATCCTCCCGTTGGGGCCCAGCTCCGTGAGGCTGTGCATCTGCCCCCAGAGCCCATCCTGCGAAGGAGACCCGCCCTGCACGAGCCATCCAGACAGCACACCCCTGCACACAGAGGGGAGAAGGCCCACATCTGAGCGTGCAGTGTCAGAGGAGTTTCACTTGGGTGTTTTCACCACCGCACAGCGAAGCGAGGGCATCACCTTCTCTGGGGAGATGGGGAAAAGCCAGGCTCAGAGAGGTCGGAAAACTAGCCGAAGACACACAGCTGCCAGGTGGCAGAATCTCCCTCAGACGCCATCTCTGTCTGACTTCAGAGCCCGGCTCTTTACACTGCCGTCTACACTGCCTCCCTCTGGGGATGGCACAGGGCTTGATGGCATATTCTGTGTGTGCACAGGGCTTGGGCCAGGGCATGAGGAGCGGGGAGGGTGGGAGTTTGCCAGAAGGCAGACCTTGGCTGACGGTGTGATTAAAGCCGTGGCAGGTGGACGAGGTGTGAGCGTAGCTGTGGGGCAGTGAGCTCCGTGAGGGGAGTCAGGCAGGGGCTTGAGAACGTGTCATTGAGGGTGTTTGA